GTCAACGGCTGGTCAACGGCTCGGTCAACGGCGCAGGCGGCGCGGTCAACGGAGGATCGGCGGCGCGGTCAACGGCTTGACGGCTGGTCAACGCGGCTGGTCAGCGGCTCAGGCTGACTGGGCTGACACGTGGCTGACACGTGTTTGACACGTGGCCTGACTGTCGGACGCGTGGCGATGACGTGGCGGATGACGTGGCGATGACGCGGCACTGACGTGGCGCCACGTGGCTCGTCTTCTCCCTGGAGACGCGCGTGTGGCGCGTGGATGAGACTGGGATCACGCGCCGGTTGCCTGAACGGCGCGTGGTGGCGCGTGGTGCGACTGGGGCTGACGCGCTTTGTTCAGAGAGCGCGTGAGGGCGCGTGTGGAGGCTTCTGGGCTCTGTTTTTGCTGTTCTGGACTCCTCTCTGGGAGTTCTTCCTCCTGGTATGGTCAAAAGTGGATTTTGAGCACTTCAAAATCTGGACACTTTCGGGAAAATTTGATTTTTTCGCAACCCGAGCTTTGATACCAATTGTTGAGGATCGGGGGCACACCAGGGAACTCAAACAAGCAATAACACACAAGTTTTAACGTGGTTCGGCAAGTCGCCTACGTCCACGGGCAGCGGATTCACTATATTGAACAAAATGGTGAATTACAACACTCTCTGTAATTCTCTCTCTTTGCTCTCAACTCACACCTCTCAGCTCCACATCTGATATCTATATCCTCTCCCTCCCGTCTCTATTTATACACAAAGGAGTAGGTGGGAGAGCCCTCATTCTTTGACTTTTGACATGGTTGGTGGCCTTCCATTGTTGACATGAGGATCACCCCTTTCACATGGGGTGACCTCTAGAATCTGTAGCCAATTCAACAAATATTGCCGGTAAACATACTATCAGTAGGTCTTTTTCTCGTGAATATTTCCAGTAGTAGCACTCCATAGCTATACATATCACCTTGTGTCGATACCTTCTCACCCATACCATACTCTGCAATATAAAACAGTTAAATAAAGACCCAAATTTCAAAATTTTCAACATTTAAAAATGGGTAAATTACATTGGTAGCCCCTCTATTTTGGCCCTTGTGTCATTTTGGTCCCTATAATTTCAATTGACTCGATTTTGACAATGAATTTATGACTGTCTCAATTTAGTCTAATTGATTACGAATGTTAACATGTTTAATAGAAAATACACACATAAGTGGTATGTGTCATATTCTTAGAAGCAAAATTAATAAACTGGCCAATTTCGTAAGTTAATTTCAACTAATTTAGTGATTATTTTCATCAAAAAAAACGTTAGCAATATTATCAATTTGACCAAATTGTCACAAAATCTAAAATTAAGGGTTAAGATTGAGCCAATTGAAAGTGTAGGGATTAAAATGACACAAGGGACAAAATGTAGGGATTACTAGTGTAATTTACCCTTTAAAAATATAAAATTAACTCAAGGGTTAATATTTATGTTGGGATGCAAAGGATAGGGAAATTGTTGATTTAATTTATTGTAGTAGCTAAACACAACTTGGTAAATTTCTAAAGGGTGTCATCTCTAACATCACTGGAAGTCTAGAAGCATATATAACTTCTATATAAACTTGTACTTGGTTTTTAGTTTACCACAAAGTGATAAAGAAAATATGTAACACTTCTTAATCAATTTCAGTGTAAAGATCAATAAATATCGGCAAATACCTGGAGCAACATATCCAACAGTTCCTCTAATGCAAATTGAACTTGATTGTTGATGATTAGATATGGTGACTGAATGAATCCTTGCCAGGCCAAAATCACCGACATGGGCACATAATTCATCATCAAGAAGAGTATTACTTGGCTTCAAATCACAATGAATGATAGCCACTTCACAATGGTGGTGAAGATAATCCAAAGCAGAGGCAACATCAATGATAATATTTAGCCTTTGAACAAAGTTTAAGTTCTTCAGGTCACCTTGTTCTGGAAGACTTGGGTGCAGCCAACTCTCTAAACTCCCATTTGTCATGAACTCGAACTAACGCCTTAAAATCGTCGCCTTTAAAATCAATACTAGAGCAAGATGTGATTACCTTGACAAGATTACGATGTCAAATGTTCTTCAATGCTTCACATTCAGCTATGAAACTCCGGTTTGCTCCATGCTCATGAAGGTTGAGCACCTTCACAGCCACAATTAGTTCACCGGAGTTGAGGAACCCTTTATAAACAGAACCATGTCCTCCCTCGCCTATTAAGTTGGCTGTAGAGAACCCATCGGTTGCTTGAAGAAGTTCCCCATAAGAGAGCTGTAAATATTGGTTTTGGAAGGCCAAAGTTGAAGAGGTTTGTTGTCTAGACCTTCTTGTTCGATGAAGAATAGCTAAAAAGCACACCAATAATAAAGAAACAGTGAGAGTGGCAACTAGAGCTATTACTCTAGTGGTGAAAGTTCGTTTCCTTTCCTGTAAGACTTTTGTTGGACATGTTGGCAATTGCAATGCTTTAATTCCTCCACAAAGTCTGTTATTTCCAACAATTGAGAAGGCACTAATATTTCTGAAAACTCCTCCATCTGGAACTTCACCATCGAACATGTTGAAGGAGAGATTAAGATTTTGAAGGAAAGGTAACTCGGCTAGAAACCTTGGAATTTGTCCAGACAAGTTATTGCGAGAAACATCTAGGATTTGAAGACCTCTTAATTGTTTGAAGGATGTCGGAATCGTACCTTCGAAATGGTTACCCTTTATGTTAAGGAGTTCTAAAACTTCACAACTGCCAAGAGTAGGAGGGATTTCTCCAAATAGTTTGTTTTCTGATATAAACAGTTCCCCTAGATTTTTCAAGCCTACTTCTTGGGGTAGCAATCCTGTTAGGTAATTCTGACTTAAGGATAGATAAATGAGGGAAGAAAGACCAAAAATTGGTTCAGGTATAACTCCTGTGAGGTGATTGTATCCAAGCGTAATTGATTGTAGGTTGCTGCAATTTCCCAAAGAAACAGGTATGCTTCCCTCTATCATATTATTTTGTATGAGAAGACTACCAAGTCGAGTAAGGTTTCCAATAGAGGATGGAATTTCTCCAGATGTTATTTAATAATAGCAACAACTGTTCCAACTTGGAAAGCTTTCCAACGGACTCGGGAATACTACCCGTAAGCATGTTCTGGTCTAAATAAAGTCTGCGTAAATTTACAAGGTTCCCAATACCAACAGGTATGGTTCCAGATATATAGTTTTCATCCAATGTCAACCAAATGATTGTCTTGGAGAGATTTGCAATGGAATGGGGCAACAAACCACTAAAATTATTTATACCCAAATCCAATATCATTAGATAGGAACAGTTGGATAAAGAAGTGATAAAGTTCATCGACTCATTATTGCCTTCATTTGTTCCAAGTGAGTTACTATTAGCACGTAAAATTTCTAGAGAATCAAGGGTTCCCAGATTCATTGGCATGGACCCAGTAAAAGAATTTTTGGGGATCTCAAATTTTACAAGTCTAGTAGCATTGGCTATTGACGATGGTATAGGACCATAAAATTGATTGAGTCCAACCAAAAAAGTTTGCAAATTTGGAAGGGTGAGGCCCAAATCCGGTGGGAGAATTCCATGCAACCGGTTGACAGCAATAGAGAAGAAATAGATTGATGAGATGTTGTAAAGTGAAGTAGGAACCATACCAGACAAATTGTTTGCCGACAACTGAAGAAACTCCAACTTAGAAAGCTGCCCAAGTTGGATGGGAATGTTTCCCTCTAGATTATTGCTCATAAGAGAAAGCAAGCGTAAACTAGAAAGATTCGCAATTGAAAGTGGGATAGTTCCCATAAAACGATTCGTTCCAAGATTCAAGTGGAAGAGATTGGACAAAGAACTAAACTCGGTAGGAATGTTTCCTCCTAGATTGTTATTAGCCAAATCAATGACTCTCAAATCTGAACAATGAGTCAAAAAGGTAGGAAATTTACCTTGGAAAGAATTATTTGAAAGCCAAAGATTTTGGAGACGAAACAACCTACCAATCTCTAGGGGGATTTCACCATATAAACTATTGTTACTAAAATCAATAGTCCGAAGGAAGGTGAGATTTCCAATGTGAGGAGTTATAGAACCCACCAATGAGAGAGAAAATAAGCTTAGGACGGTCACACGCTGATGTCGGCGACTGCATGTGACTCCTTGCCAATTGCAAAAGTGAATAGAATGGTTCCATGAGCTAAAGGCACCAAGAGGATCTACTGGTATCAAATACTTGATTGCAAGCAAAGCTTGATAGTCTGTCTCATTGCTAAGAATGAAACCGGTGTTGCCCTTGGCAGTGACAATCAATCCAAGCAAGTTGATGGAAAAGAAAATAATGAAACAGAGAAGAGATATACTTAGTAGCCTGAAAAAAGTATCTCTTTGCTCCATTTTGTGTCAAAATATTTTATGACCATGGGTTTAAGGATAGATATATGGGGAATGGAGCTGATGAGCCAGATATTTATACATAGAGATATATGAAAGTATGGGTACATTCACAAATATGTCGTATCCGTATCAGGTACTTTATGGCATATGGTACTTCTATATAGGTGGACTTATTATGTAATAGGTCATATAATAATTAATGACTTTTTTATCAAACACTATTAAAAAAAAGTCATTAATTGTTAATTTTCAGCGACCGTTTAAAAATTATCACAAAAAATGTCACTAATTATAAGTTTTAGCAACAATTAAAAAAAATCGTCACAAAAAATCGCTAATTTTCAACTTTCAACGACAGTTTGAAAATTCATTATAGAAAAATGTTCACTAATTGTAAGTTTTAGGGACAATTTATAAAAAGGATAATGTTTCGTAGCTCGAAACTTTGCCCCCCCCGAATCCCCCTAATGCCCAAAACGACATCGTTTTGGGCATTAGCCTTTTTTTTTCTTTTTTTTCTTTTTTTTTCTTCCATTTTCGAGTCTGCAAAGAAACGAGAGGAGAGGAAGAGAAGGGAGAAAGATGAGAGAAAGAGAGAAAGAGAAGAGAGAGAGAAAGAGAGAGAGAAAGAGAGAAAGAGAAAGAGAGAGAGACCGAGATCGACAGAGACGGAGAGACCAGCCTCTGCCTCGCAGTCCCCGCATCTCCTCCGCCTCCTCCTCCAGTCCTGTTGGCCCCTTTCAGTCCTTCCTCCTCCTCCTTCTTCCTCCCTTCTTCTTCTTTCCTTCTTCTGATCTTCCTTCTTCTGCACACACAAAAAAAAAAAAAATAATCAAAGGTGGTGTCGTTTTTGAATTAGGGGGATTCGGGGGAAGCTTTCGAGCTCCCTAGCACGGTCCTTTATAAAAATCATGATAAAAAAATTCACTAATTGTCAATTTTTAACAACATATACAAAACATATCACAAAAAATTAATTTTAAAGATAATTTTACTAAAACTTATTTTTAATAAAACTTGATAAAAATTAAATCTAATTATTAAGACATATTGGTAGTTTACCTAAAATCTTCATGACTTTGGATACAATAATTCTTCCCCCAGCGGTCTGAAGATAATGGATACAATAATTCTTCCCCCAACTGTCTCAAGATAAAATAAAAATAAATCCATTCTTTAAGAGAGAATCCGTGTGTCAGCCACATCATTTGAGTAGTTTTTTATTTTATTTTATTTTATTTTTATCACAATCGGAATATAATGAATCAATAATTACAAAATAAATTACGATTATCTAACCCAACAACAAATAAAAGTTTTAGGAATTAAACTCTTTCATCTTTAAAAATAAAAATTTTGTTATAAAAAAATATTAACAGACCAATTTGATTCTTCGCGGAAAGGCTGTCTGAAAAAGTTTTTAAAAAAAATGACATTTAGGCTTATTTTGAAAAGTAAGAAAAAAAAAATATTTTTTTGACTTTCTTTAAAAAATGTATAAAAAAATAGAGGGGTAGTATGATCTAAAAAAGTCAAAAAATTAATAAATTAACTTTTAATTTAGTTGCCAAAATAGACCTTAAAGATAAAATTTTAAAAATGTTGCTTAAAAATATACGATTAAGAATATCAATTTGTCCCAAAAGATTTACTTTTTAAAAAAGGTTTAATCCTAAAAAGATTTTTTTTTTTTGCGTTGGGGTGGGGGGGGTGGTTTCAAGTACTTCAACTTGTATATAATACGACAATATAAGAGTTTAAAATCCGTGAAAATATATTCCATAGGTCCCTATGAGAATTTAAGGGTTATTTGGAGTGTCTTAAGTAAGTGTATTTTTTATCTTTTTAAACTAAAAAATTGAGGAAAAAAATATAAATGTTTGGATTAACTTTTTGACTTTTTATGAAAAAATGTATATTAAAAAATTGTATAAATTAGTGTGTAGAGAAAAATTAAAATTAAGAATTATACAGCCGTAATTGTTGACTTTTGATGAATAGTATTAACTTTTTAAACAATTTTTTGACTTTTTAACTTTTTATGAACTTGTCAAACTTGACCTTAATTTACATGGAAATGCACTTCATATGGGCCTCTTTGAATCTCTTTGATTCAAAGACAGCTTTTGGGAGAGCTGAAAGTCAACGTTGTGGACCTGTACTGGACAACGGTGTTAGAACTGTTATGATTGATATAAGAAGTAGGTTTTATGATTCGGTGTGTATTATGATTTGTGAAAAGTATTATCACACCTAAAAAAGGTCAAATAATTTTTCCTTATACAGTGGCTCCTACAATTTTTTTAAATATTTTTTTTTTTTTTTAATTTTCAACTTGTATATAACACGACAACATAAGAATTTAATATCCATGGAAATATATTCCATAGGGTCCCTGTGAGAATTTAATTTGCATGGAAATGTAGTAGTTTTTTCTTTTGAAAAAAAAAAAAAGTGCTCCGTGGTGGCATCATGGCACGCCCTAGGTTCAAGATTTTGGTCCCGATTTATTCCAATTCATAAGAAGGAATCTATCAATAGAGTAACATTGGATCTCACCCTCCAATCACAACGCACGCCTGAGGTTTGAGAGGCATAAAATGCAGTGTCCAAAGGTGAAGCACGCATAGCGTGCAACCGTTCCCCCAAAGAATCGACACCGAATCATGAGCGTGGAAGGCAAGTGCCTAATCCACGTTACCACCACCCCCAGTGGTGGAAGTGTAGTTCATATGAGCCTCTTTGATTCAAGGACAGCTTTCAAGTGACCTGCATGGTAAAGTTAAGGGTAAATTACTCTCATCTCTCTTACGTTGTATTTGGTTGGGAAATTTAAAAAAAAAAAAAAAGAGAAAAGTTAGGTGAAATATAAATAAAATATACCTTTTTCATTTCCATTTCCTTTTCCAAATCTCTTCTCAAATCCCTCAACCAAACACATCATTAAAATTTCTGACAATTACAAGAATCTTTTTTGTAATTTCAATAATTACAGAAATCTTCCTTATTTTGAAACTATTATTAAGATTTCCCCACCATTAATCTTCTGTTAATTTATTTAACAGAATATGATGATATCATGCTAACGTCTTATGGGTGTGTTTGATTGAGGTGATTAAGAGGGGACTATTCACTATGCGGATTACTTATTCGAAGGAGTGAGTAGTCCATCGTTTTTTTTTTTTTAGTTCACCGGACATGGAGTCCGGCTGGACTCCTTATCCCTCATATAGGGGATTATACTATCCCGGGGGGTGTGTGAGACAGTTTTGGAGGGACAATTTACTGTTGGGATTAGGTGGTAAAATGACCATTTTGACCCTCCACTATTTAATTATGTATTATATTTAGTAAAATTAAATAAAATTTAAATGTTTCAATTTAAAAATAAAATAATTTTATTTAAATTTTTATTGATGTTTTATTTATTTAATTTTTTTAAATAATTTTTTATAGATATTTTATGGGTAAATTACAAACACCCCTTCGAGGTTTGGTGAAAATACAGATTCCCCCATGAGATTTGAGAAATTACATCCCGCCTCCTGAGGTTTATATTTTCATAACAAATTGCCCCCTGAGGTTTTTATTTTCATACAGATTCCCCCTAATTTGTTATGCAAATTTGACCTTCAGGGGGCAATTTGTAATTTCTCAAACCTCAAGAG